TAAAATACCCAAAAGAGACAGCTCTTGACTTAGCGGGCCCAGTGACAGGAAAGGTGCAGATCAAGAACGCCACGTATGTCACTGAAGTTTGCATTTATTTTCGTGGTGCTTTGTTGCAACTGCTAAGAGGCTAAGGCGACCGCTCGGCTGGTAGCATGCTGAACCTTACAAGCACGAGGACCGGATTTAGTCACCATGATCCACACTGAAAAGGCTGAGTGTAGCACCAGGAATCAGGAGTATCTTAAGGGCTAACTGGTCAACCAGCCTAGCCTACGTGGTGAGTTACTGACCAGCAGAAGACAGTGTCTCAATCAAAAAGGATGTATAGACATTGTCTGAGGAGCAATATTCAAGGTTGTCCACTGGCCTCCGCAGGTACCAAAGTAAACATGCACGTGTTCACACACACACACACACACACACACACACACACACACACACACTCTCTCTCTCTCTCTAAAACAATCATCACACACATAAGAAGAAAGTCCTCTTCGAGTCACAGGAGAGCAGTAAAATGAGAGCGTTAAAGGTGGACAGACACCAACAACTCGCGACCAACACATGGGGCAGGGCCATAGCTTTTGTGCTCTTGTTCCCCAGCTTTTGCTCAGTGAATATTTGCTGGAACAGTACATAAACAAGATGGCTTTCGCTAATGGCTTGGGGATTTTGCTTTTAACAGAGAATGAAGGAAATGTCCTCCCCTTCAGATTCTCCACTAAAGACAGCATCAGCTCCACTTATGGGGAGCCCTCCTAAGGATGGTGAGGGAAGAATGTAAACCTCTCACAATAACCATGTTAGGCAATAAATGATCAAATGCTGCTGCAATAGCAAGTAAACAAATCTGTCACTTCCCTCCCTCTCTGTGCTGATGCATCAGCTGGAAGTGAGCCTGTTAACAGAACAGTATAAGTCGTTCCACAAGTTTGCCCTGGCACCTTCTGAAACATATATCCATTCGCTTCAAATGCTGCCTCTTCCTAAGCTGATTTTCTCCTCCAACCACAGAAACCACAATTACATCACATGCGTCATATCATGTGGTCCAAATGATGGACAGGACCCCTAACCAAACGTGTCACCATAGCAACAAAGGGACTACATTTGCTACTCTCTACCTCCATGTCCCATCAATTATTTAACATGCCTATACCATAGCTGCAAGGTATAAATGAACATGTTCGTTAGCAGCAAGAGTCAGACCTGAGCGAAATTCCAAGCATCAAACGGCAAACTGACCACAAAACAAACATAATTCTTGTTGAGGGTAACATCACACAATATAAAGGGATGGGAGGAGAAACCCTTCTTAGTTTTCTAAGCTTCTGCTTGAGAACAAAATGAGTTTGTGAGCTCACAGCTCGTGTTTGAGGCGGGAGGGACACAAGGGTTCAGGGAGGAAAAACACATTAACCGCACATACACCTTTTATCAAAGTTACTGAAAATAAGATGATTATATGAGACAGAGAGCCAAAGGATGAAACTCATTTTAAATTAATCTTTTATACTTTGGATTTGGTTTTGATTCTGGCCTGTTTTGTGGATTAGTTCTCATCAGGAAAATAGGAGACGTGCTGATTGAGGGAATACACGGCAATCAACAGGCAGCTGTGATTTGCCTCTCTCTACCTGGTCACATCTCAGCTGACTTCCCCTGGGAGAGTTCTAAAGAGAATCTCAGAGAGGTTCCCACTGTTGCCTTGACAAAGGAAAAAAATGTTTCTATCATAAGAACCAAGGAGAGAGTAGTTTGAATACAGTGTGCCCAATCACACTGGAACATACCTCCAAATGTTAAGACCAATACCACAAAAACTACCTGTTCTATCTTAAGCGATCTCATGAATTAATCTGAGTTGGGTCCAGGTTAGGGCTTCTACCCACAGGGATCGAGAAACCGTGTCAGCATCGAAAGACGGAGTGAACACTGGGAACAGAATGCGGCTCTTCCATTCACGCTACTGGTTTATTTCATGCTAGTTACAGAAAAGAGAAAAAAAAATAAATGGGGGTAGTCCTCCAAAAGATCCTGTTTATTGGCAATAGGTAATAACCAAATAAAGGTTTCATACAAAAAAAAAAGCTTTTACTTGGTTAAGAATAACTGACATGCCCAGAAAGTAACTCTCTAAGCCACTGACCGATTAAAAGGCATATGTAAAGTCTGCAGAAGGGATTCTTACACAGCTTCCTGGGTGCTGTCCAAGACGCAGCCTCTGCATCCTGTGTGCCTATGCCTAGCTTAGCACATGTTGTCTGAGTAGCAGACTTTGAGTAGACTGTAGGGATGACTAAATGATTCATTAAAACTGTAGTTTCCAGACCAGTAGTCCTTCTATCACAGATAATAATTTTATTATGGTAAACATAAGAAATCACATTTAAAAACCTTGGCATATAATTATTTTACTATTCATACAGAAAAATATGCGGAAAATATTCAATATTTACCACAAATAACGGTTTCTCTCTCAAAACCCATCTTCCTCATAGAAAAGCACCACGATACTTAAAATGAGATCTAGGGTGGTCTTTCTGCAGCAAATGTCTCCTCTAAGTGGATAAATGCTCACATAAAGCAGCCAAACATTTACAAACACTTCACACAGCACTATAATTTTATATATATACCCACATAAAATAAAAGCATGTACCTTGGGGATCATTTATGCAGCTAAATGCCTTTCTGGTTAGCATATAAAAAAGCTTAAGACAGATAACTTTTCACATCTGACAGCACACACAGGGTGAATTATGGCCGCTGTTCGGTTTCTATAATTGAGTGAATGCCTTTAGACAATTGGTCAAATATTCACCTCTTATTCTCAGCCAGCAGACAGACATGCAAATGCATGTATATTTATAAAATATTATGAGACCCATGGAGAATAGTAAGCTTCAGGAAAGCCCTTCCTCTGAGGGCTTTGGGTTTTATAATTCTCTAACAACTTCGGTTGTTACATAAAAGAAACAATATAAAAATGCTATATAAAGGCTGCTATGGCTTAAAAAGATGTCCCCCAATGGCCCATGTGTTAAAGTCTTGGAACCCAGGAGAGTGCTATGGAAAGATGGTAAGACCTTTAAGAGGCAGGGTCTTCCGAAAGGGCCATAGGTCACTGGGAGCATACCCTTGCAGAGACGTGCCTGGCCTACTTCTCTTCCTCCTTATCTTGGATTCCTGGTTCCTGATGCAAGCAATCAGCACTAGTAATGAGATAGCCCCCATTTTTACCACCCAGCACTTCTACCAGAGGCCCAAAGCAATGAACCTACCCAACCTTGGATTGGAGTCCCTGAAAGCAGAAATCAAAAAAACACTTTAATAAATGTTTTTCTCTACATAAGTTACATTCATCATTTGTTTCATCACAGAGACAGAAAGCTGACTAGCCAGGAGCAAATTCAACTGTCCTCTCCCAGACGGCAAGAGCGTCATGGGCTCTGATCACAGAGTTCTTTCTCCTTTCCTGTAAATAGCAGGCACTCCCATTTGCTGCAGAAATAAAAATGAGACTGTACTGCATAAAGCTAAGTGCAGCATTGCACTTATAAATATTTGCCTTGGATTTTGTTTATAAATTTTTCTTTTCAGATATCAATAGCTAAACAAACATACTTATTGCTTTTAATAGCTGTGTGTGTATATATATACACACACAAATTCAAAATTGTCCCGAGATTCCATGTGACTTACAGAACAGCCACCTGTATGAAAACAACTATTTAAAATGGTGCAAGCCAGAGAGGCAGCTCAGTGGATATACAAACACTCACTGTGCAAACTTAAGGGCCTGAGTGTGGTCCTCAGCACCAATGGAAGGAGAGAACCACGTCCTGGAAGTTGTACTCTGACCTCCACACACATTCCCATACTCACACACATACATTATACACACAAACATATACGCAAAAATATATTTATAAATGGTACAAGACTATCAAAGAACAAATATGGAACAGAACAGAGTGCCCCCCCCAATAAACCTCCTCCTACAAAATCATGACTGTCTCAAAGTCACTAGCATAAAATCCAACAGGTAAAAATAAAAACTCTAGAATAACTAGAAAGCTTAACCACGACCCCACCTCATTTGGAAAAGCTAATATACAACGGAGAGGTAATATAAATGAGAATGTTAGTGATGAAATCATAAAGCTGTTGGTGGAAAACGAAGGAAAAATGATGATGTGGGAGAGGCCAAGGTTTCCCAGGCTACAGAACTAGGCGACAGCCGGTGTGACACCAACATGCAGAAGCTCACTGACGGCGTTCTTCAGAAAATGATGAGGCCAGAATGGAGACAAGAGGTTGAAAGTACAGGTGGACAAGGGCTTTCTAAATGGGAATTCTACTGCGTAGGAAATAAGGCCAACCACGGACAAATGACATCTCATAGAATTAAAACGTTCCTGCGTAGTGGAAATAGCTAGTCAGGACATGAGACGGTTCACAAAACAGGAGGAAAAGATTGCCAGCGGACAGAAGATTGATTGATATCTACAACATACGAGGAGCTCCAAAGAACTAAAGAAGTCAAATAACATAGACAAAAGAAATGAGCTGAAGACAGTTCTCAGAAGACATATAAATGGGCAATAAACATGAAAAAATGTTCACACTTACTAACCATCAGAGAAACACAAAGTAAAATCGCATTGCGATTCTCTCTCACCCCAGTCAGAATGGCAGTCATTAAGAAAAGTGACAAATGCTGACAGCGATGCAGACCAAGGGACCTTTATATGTTGCTGATGAGGTGGTAAATTAGTTCAGCCACTATGGAAATCAGTGTGGAGATTTCCCAAAAATAAATAAAAACAGATCCACCATATGATCCAGCTCTACCAGCCCTAGGAATTTGCCCAGAGGAGTCTGAGCCAACCTACAACAGAGATACTCACACATCAGTGTTTATTAGAGCCAGCTCAGGTGCCCAACAACAGAGGAATGGAAGGAATGGATAAAGAATGATACCCAGTTCTTACCTGTTTCACAACTGGTTTGGTGACATCACTGCCTGAAGCCCTCACAGCAGAATTCAACAAATTGAATATGCAATGGGAGCCACTAAACCAACTTCTGCCACCACTTCTCTGAAATAAAAAAAAAAAAATGTAGTTTTAATTTCACTGAAGAAGAATCAGTCAAAGCTCTCAGCTCATCAGAATGGAATTCTCCACATTGATAACTACATGGTATCTTAACTGGCAAGTCTGCTGCTGGGTTAAACTGATGTGCAATTTAATATGTCACAAGTGTTTGGATCATAGATTTGTATCTGACACGTACCTTTCTATGTCTCCTCCTGAATCTCTAACAGGAAACGAGACTCAGGTACTAACACGATGTATGCTGGAGACCACGATGTACAGCATAAAGTCGCCTACTGCTGTTATGACGGTGTGGAGCCCCCTCGTCATCCAAACTTGTCCATCTGCTATTTTGATTGTCTTCATTGCTCTGCTTTGAGCTGTGCTCATGGGAACTCGCTCTCAGTCAACTAATACTTAACACGGGGAGATAAATGTCTGAGTTTGCAGAAGGAACTCCAAATGATCTCGTTAAACACAGTCTGTGTTCCCTAGCAGATAGATGCATGGCAGAAGGGCCTAGTTACAAGAAATGTTTCTACAGAAACTGCCGGTATGGACTTGGAGTTTCCAATCTACTATGACGCCCTATCCCCATTTCCAGAGCATCTTCCAGAAGGACCACAGAGGAAGGCACAGCACACACCACCTACTGATGAGCCTATAAAAAGGCTAGCTGATGAACCAGAGGAGTACCGAGTAACAAAGTAGTCTCTCTGTGCACTCAGTGTAAGAATGCAGGAACACAAATACCAACAGCAATAACCTATACTCTACTCCAAAGTACACTCAGTGTAAGAACGCAGAAAAACAAATAACCAACGGCAATAACCTATACTTTACTCCAAAGCACACTCAGTGTAAGAACGCAGAAACAAAAATACCAATGACAATAACCTACACTTTACTCCAAAGCACACTCAGTGTAAGAAGAATGCAGAAACACAAATACCAACGGCAATAATCTATACTCTTCTCCAAAGCACAGTTGTAGATTGGTACCTTTACAGTGCAAATGTACATTTTTTTCCTAAGCAACATCACTTAAATATAATAGTGGGGTACATATTTTGAGAGGTTCTACATACATTTTCTAGAAAGTGTGGATATCTACTCTAATTTTTATATAAAACATAAAAGACAACAGTGAAATAGTTACTTCATTGCCTTATTATGACTGAAGTCTAATTAAACAAGAAGGCTGTAAAATGCAATGTGTTTGTGTATACACTGTATGTGTAGTTCTCAAAATAGGTATATGCCCTGGCCTTTGTTTATACAGGTCTGAATTTGAAATTGCATTATAAATACATATACTTTATTGTTCTAAGTAAAGAATTTTATGCACTGTAAAAACAAACAGGTAAAGAAGAGCAGTAGGTGGCCCTGGGAAGACAAACACAGCCATCGCTGCATTTAATGACTGTTTTAGTATGACTCATGGGGAACAATGTACTTGCCTACTGGTGAAATGACAAAGCACCGACTTGCCCCTAGATTTACCTAGGCTACTGTAATTATAAGTTTGGACTAAACAGAACAGATTGCTTCCATCTGCCAAGAGTGTTCCTTGCAGGTGCTGCAGCCTAATGAAGACTGCGCCATCAGGGAGGGCGTCAAGGCCTCCTTCCCCGCTCTCCACAGCACACAGTATGGACCTCCTCCACAGCACATGGTATGGACCCCCACCACAACTTTGTACATGTACAGATTTGTACAAGACCCCCATGTAAAGCTCAACTTGGTATCGCCAGAGAGTAGCGTGGACTACACTTACAGTAAATAAATGCTAGGTGAATAAAGCAATCAAGAAACAGTATTTCAAGACCCCCAGCAAGGACTCTCACATGGAAACTATCCCTCCCTTCACTCAATTCTGCCATAGCAGGAATGCAACCACTAGCGCCCAACACCTTTGAGCTCCCTACTGCCATTACCTGGAGAACATTTTTAAAATTTCAATTTCTCATGAAACGCAAAAACATTAGGTCACTAAAATCCACACCACAGTTGGAGATGCCTTGGAAGTTAGAGGGAGGTTATTGTCCGTATCCCCATTCCCTCCCTCCAGCCCCCAGACCCATCGCCCTGTAAAGAGCAAGGCCCCTAGGACAAAAAAGATTAACATTCAGTGAAGCCAATTTAGAGTGTGTGCATAGGAATCCTCCATACTATTTTAGCAACTTTACTGCAAATCTAAAATTATCTCAAAATAAGAAAGTGTTTCTGTCAGCGATAACAGGCAGGACCCCAGGCCACATAGGAAAAGAGCAAACGAAAGGAAGCCGGCTGATTTAGGAACACAAAAAAGCAGAGGCCTAAGAAGGACCAAGTCTCAGCTTCCAGTTCCCAACTTTGTTGGGGACCAGACAGGCTTCGACAATCCTTCCCATTGTAATGAAAACCTTGGACCTCCCCAAAAGCCCCTGCCCTGCAAAGAAACCATTCTTCAGCCAAAGTGAGGTTTCCAACCTAAACCGTAACATTTATGGCAGAGAAAAAGAATGTACCAAAAACAAATCTTTTAAAGATTTATTTATACCTACAAACACAAGTGCCTTAGAAGAATAATTATGCTATACTATGCTATATTATGCTATGCTATGCTAACTACACTACACCTAGGTGTATACTATACCACAATACAGTATTGGGAAGTGATTCCAGCAGCATGGAGTAATAATGGTGCACCCTGGGTGCGATCTACCTGCATGCTAGCCTTCTGATGGCCACCATTATTCTTGCCCCAACCACTATTTGCTTGTTTGTCAGCCAAGAATGACAACAGAGGTAAATTTCACACTTCACACAAGAATGCGCTTGCAAATGCTGCCCTGGGTCTCAAGGGCACAAGTCACATCTGCTAATGTGTTTTGTACCATCCCTGGCTCAGTGCCCCATGAAGGTAAAGAGTTTAATAAATGCGCAAGAGTCAGCTTTCTTCCCAGCTCATTTACTTTCCTCAAGTAAAATTTATTAAGTATTAATTTGTACAAGGTTAGCCCGATGCTAATGCTGTTTACATTGTTTCCAAATAGTGATAAATACATACCTCTGAGAAGACTTCCCAAAAACTCCAGAGGAGAAACCACTGTAAGGGTTGCCTACATTTTCCTGGAGGTGAGGGGCAGATGTTTCAGGACTGTTTCTCCAAACTCATGCATAATTTCTAGGGAGAGCTCACTGGGGAAGCAGGAGGGTTATAAAAGCAGAATAGTGGACTTTTCCAGTGTTTGAGCTGCTGAGGCCAAACCCAGAGACGCAGCCCTTACTTTGTTATAGGACTCTGTGGGCTCTGATACCTAATTATTAATTTGGGGTTAGCCTATGAGTCTAAGCCTTTCATGGGTACGAATATCAAACACTCAGCCTGAGAGTCTCTCTACCAAGTCCACTGTTGAATTTCTGGTTCAGTCAAAGGTTCTGGATTAATGGTGTGCGGCTGACCACCTAGAGAACATGTACAAGGCAGCGTGTTCTTTCCCACCCCTTCACCCAAGCTCCAGGCTGGGACCTCAGCAATAGCAATTAGCCTTCAGTTCTAATGTTCTGATGAGGAACTCTAGATTGCCAGACCTGGCAAAAGGTTAAGGACTCCAAAGCCACAAAATGAGATAACACTGGCCAATGGTCAGACCCTGGTGCACATCACACCAGACTGCATGGAGGCAGGGCCCCCGGAGGTGCACGTCATCACCAGACTGCATGGAAGCAGGGTCCCCAGAGGTACACATCAGCACCAGACTGCATGCAGGCAGGGCCCCCAGAGGTACGGCACCTGCTTTGTCTTTCCTACATATCAAGTTCCCAAGAGGTTGCTTTTCATTCGAAAGGGCTGTGACTCTGAGATAGTCTACGAGTCAATTAAAACTGAGTTCTCAGAAGCAAAGACCCATGTAAATTAGGAAATGCAGCTTGTTACATGGCCCCTGCTCTCTCACCCCAGCTCCATCTCTGCCTCTCCCTGGCCTTCTGGGCACCTGCCTAGATGAGAGCTTCCTGGCTGCTTGGTCCCCCTACGCCACCTCCTCCAGTCTTTGCCTCAAAACAGTCCTTTCAGGCATTGCTTCTAGAGTCTGCCATCCTTTGAATCTTTCAGACTCAAAATATCTCAGGAAACAAAGAGTTCACTACTACTCCTGTGTCCAACATCTGCAGCGGTTGTCTTCTTCTTAGGTAATATATGACATGACCTCTCTGAAGAACACTAGCCTGTACCTGGCTTTTCGGGGCCAGATGCCCTCTAGCTCTGTGAATGCCTCCTTTTCTCCCAGGCAGAACTGGTTCTCAAACTCAGCGAGGAGCAGTGGTGCTTTCCTCTGGGACACTGGAACCTTCAGAGCAAATACCAGGCCTGGTGGGGCAGCTCAGCAGCACGACATCGGCCTAGTATGTTCCAAGTCCTTGGTTTCTCTTCTAGCTCCGAAATTAACTGGTTAATTAGTAACCAAAGGTGTCCTTTTGTTTATTTAATACCCTGGACTTATTTAAAAGCTGAACACAGCGCCACATGCCTGTGGTCTCAGATACTCAAGAAGTTGGCCCAGGAGGGATGCTTGAATTCAGTATCCAAGGCCAGTATTATCAAACACTAACCAATGCATATTGAATGGAAGAATGTGATAAATATTTAAATTTTTATTTCAATAATATCAATTGTATTATTGGTATGTAGCACAAATAATTAAATAAATATTAAGATATTAAATGGGGATTCTAACTTTTTAAAGTTTCTTCTGAAGTATCTAGTCTCTTTCTCATAGCGTATCGTCTCTTGAAAACTCGGATGTGGCTATTCCAGGATCAAGGGCGAGCTGTTGGCACTAAGTGCTACCCTGGGAAAGAGACCCCTGCTAGAATCATACAGCTCTTGCTCAACGATGGAAGTCTCCATTTTGCCTTAAATGCTAACGGAATGTCATAACAGATTTCTCTCTGGAAAGACGGGACGATGTGCCTTTTTTCCTAGCAGCAAAGTCAGTTTGTAAAGAAATTTCAGAAAT